TCAGCTGGGACCAATGTCAGGGCCCAGAGGTGGGAGCAGAAAGGCCCCCAGCTGGGAACAGCCTGGCTGGGTGAAGCTAGACCCAGTCTAGCCTACCCTGCCTTGGGCTGCCAGGAGGCCTGGCTAACAGGAGCCAGAGCCCCGCAGCATGAACAGCCCCTGGTCTGCAGCCTTAGCAGAGAGAGACATGGCTGCAGGAGCCAGGGAGACCATGTGGGAAGCTGGTCCTACCCTCCTGGACACAGGACCCTCCTACTTCAGTGCCATCGAGTCCCCAGCCCCACCCCCCCAGCCCCGGGGCTGGCGGGGAGCTGACGGAAACAGTGCATGCAGCAGGAACCATCCTGCCGGCAAAACAGTGGGAACAAAAGGTCAAAGCTGGGGCACTTCTTGGGACGTCAGCACCCCAGACCCAGCCCCTACCCCAGGCCACAGTCGGCACGTCAGCCGCTACCCAGCCAGCCCCAAACTGGAAAATCTTCTCCTATTGCTTCACCCCAGGGGCTGGGTGAGCCAGGGAGGGGTGGATGGGGAGTCAGGCTGGCACGTCTGCAGTCTATGGTTGAGTTTAGGGTCATCTGGGCCACGAGGCTGTGCTGAGGAAGTTAGGGCACTGTATGTGAGGGGGCCTTGAACTGTGGTGGCTGCCATGGGTATGTTCTGCTCTCAGGTGAAGGCAGCTCTCCAGACAGTATTTAGTGAGGTGGGCTATGTGAGGTGCCATGTGTGGTGGGTCTGTAAGATGTACCAGTATGTGCACAGGAGTGTGGGGTGTGTCAAGGTAAGAACTCTGGAGTATGCACGTGTGCATCTGTGTAAGGGCTCTGTGTGTGTGTGTGCATGCCTCTGCGTGAGAGGTGTATGTGTGCGTGCGTGTGTATAAGAGTGTGCTGTGGTGTGCGAGTGCCTGCACAAGGGCTGAGTGTATACACGTGTGTGAGCATATCTGCATGACAGCTGTGTGTCCGTCATGTGCACATGTCTGTATGCATGTCTGCACAAGGGCTGTGTGTGTGTTTGGGGTGCATGGGTTTCTGTGCCTGTCTGTGGTGTGTGTGTGGATCCATCTAGGTACCTCTGCATAAGGGCTGTGTGTGTGTGTCTGTGGTACGTGTGTCCACATGTGTGTGTCTGTGCTCTGCATGCATCAGTGTGAGGGCTGTGAAAGTGTCTGTGGTGCATGTGGATCCATGCACTGTGCACCCTGCGTGCAGTCCTCTTCATGTGCCTGTCTGGCAGGCTTGTGACTGAGGTGCAGTGGGGAAGGGACTCCCACGCTGTGTGTCCTCAGGCTGTGTCCTAGCTGTGCCCTGGCAGCAGGGGGCCAGCACAGCTCATGCCCTACACACCAAGATCCTTTGCTGCCACATCCTCTCTGCTCCCAGGGCCCAAGCCTTGTGGGATGGTTAGTAGATTCCTCACTCCACACTGGCTCTCACAGGAAAAAACATGGAGCAATACAGGTGTAAGGAAATCCCAGGACCTCCTGCCCCCATTCCTCACCTCCTGGACTGCCCCAGCCTTGCTCTCCCGGCCCTTTGGGAGTGGCCTGGGTCCCCTGCCAGCCTAAGGGTGACCCAGGGGGGCATGCACCTGCTGCATGCCCCCATCCTCCACATAAGGACTCCCTTTCCTCCCCCAGGTGAGTGCCCCTGTGCTGGGTTTCCATGAAGCAGCACTGCCACCTGGTGGCCAGGTGCACAAATCACAGGTGCGTGTCTCCTGCCTGCAAGCTGGAACCAGGACACCTGGGTTCAGCTCTCAGCTTCTGCAACCTAGCATGGGCTGGCAGTGAGGCCCTCCCTCCTCCCTGCCTCAGCCTCCCCTCTGTAGGATGACCCTGGCCACTGCTGTTTCCCATGGCAGGGAACACTGGGAGTGGGGAGCGTTATGACACCAGCAAAGCTGGGAACTTCCTTTCCCACAGGCCTCTTGAACCAGAGGGTCCCTCCCCACACTGCAGGGACCCTGCCACAGTGGCACAAGAGGTGATGGGGGTAGAGAGGAGGACAGTGCCTCAGGCTGGAGGATATGGAGGCACTTGATGACAGCCATGAGCAGAGAGCACGAGCTACAGTTCATGCATGTGCGTGTCTGTGCACAAGGATGTGATTATGGGGGCAAGCATATATATGTCTGTGGGTGTCCATGCATGTCTCTGGTGCACACCTGCAGGTGTGGTGTGTGCATCTTTCTTTCCTTCAGCGGTTAAGGAAGGGCAGGTTGCTGCAGTTCTGCACTGTGAATTCACGTGATGCTGAGGAGGCTGGATGTACATATGCGCGCACGCATGCACGCACACACACACACACACACACATACACGTGTCTGTTTTTTCAGGCCTTCCTGCCAGCCCTTCAGAGCCAAGACTTCAAAGAGCAGCCTGACGAGAGCAAGTGGGCCACTGAGCAGCAAAATTGAAAGTACAACCCGAACAACATGGGGCACGTGAGCCAGCTTGCACGCCCTTACCCGCCCACACACCATGGCATGCTTGCAAACACACCCCCTTGCACAAATGCATCCTTCCCACAGGCAAATTGCTGGGCCCCTTGCGAGTACACCCCACACATGGGCTCCCAGGGGGTGCTGATCAAAAGACATAGCAAATGTTCCTGAACCCTGTACCCCAGGAAAGTCCTACTGATGATAGGACACACACAAGATGATAACACACACAAGTGATTCCACCTCCAGGTAGTACAGGGTGGTTGGGGAACCAAAGCAGGGTATATGGGGGTGGGGGGGACCCTGCTGCCATTTGCTCCATCTTGGGAGGGTTCAGCTGCTGGCTAACAGGGGCATGGGGGAATTGCCCAAGGACTGGGGTACAGGGTTGTCACTCCCCTCTCTTGCACCCCAAGCCCACTCCATGCCCTGGGCTCTATGGCACTGTCTTATCTGCCCATTCATAGGGACTAGGGAGGATTTGAACCTGTGGCCTTTAGGCTGAGGCAGAGGGGGTTTGAAGCAGTTACTGCTCCAAAGATCTTTGGGCCCAGGAATTGCCTTCTCCAACACCCCACTGATACAGCAGGCCCTGGGGTGGGGCACAGTGGCTGTTCTGGGGTCACACAGTAACACCCTTGAGCAGTCACTTTAGGATGGGAGGGGATGGAGGAGCCCATCTCCAGTGGAAACTGTAGGAAGGGGAGGCATTCAGGGAATCTGCCCAGGGGATGGGGTTTTAATGCCTCCTGGGGAGATTTCGCAGGGGTCTTGACTGACCACAAGGGGGCAGCACCTCAGGTTTGCAGCCCTGCTCACAGCTGGCACAGCCCTGCAGAGCAGTGCCCCATGCAGCCCCTGTGCCCTGCCTCTGCCCTACAGCACCCCTATAAAGCCCCTGCCTTTCCCACTGAACCAAAGTCCTCCCCTGCCAGAGCACTCCATAGCAGTGCCCTCTACCAAACACCCTCTGCTAGCACAATGCGCTGCCCTTGAAGCACAGTGCCCCCTACTGAGCTCCCTGCTGTCACTCCCTGTGGCACAGTGCCCCCCTGCACCCACCTATCCTGCTTCCTGCACCCTGCTGCCCCCAACAGGGCCCCTCACCTAGTTCTCTGCAGCATGTTAATCCCACACAATTTGACACCCTTACTGAGTACCCCCACCAGCACCCTCTACTGGGTTCCCCAGCAGGGCGACAGGCACCAACATGCCACTGCCTTTGGCTGAGGTATGCTGTACCTAGGGCTGACCTTGCTATGGCCCAGCCTCTGGGAGCTGTCTCCCTATTCTGCCCCCCTGATGGCCTGGGCTCAGTACCCTGGACCCACTGCAGTGCCAGAGGTGTGGGAGATGCCTGGCTGGGCTGCTTAGGGAGTGAGGTAGAGAAAGGACCCCAAGGCAGACACCCCCCTGCCCTCCACATGTACCCATGGTGTGTGGATTTTCCTTCAAGGCACCATGATCTCACAGGAGGGGCTTTCTATCCCACCCTTCCCTCCGGCTGCCTGGATGCCACCCCAGGCATGGCTGCCTAAATTCCGGTGCCAGGCATGGGGCAGGCACCTGTGCCAGAGCCTGATGCCAGGAAACTCTGGGAGTGAGAGGCTGTGCAAACACATGGCTACGGCATGAGCAGCAGTGGGGGCCGACTGCCCGTCTGCCTGCAAGGGACACCTGCCACACCCCTCAACCCAGTAGGGCTCAGGCCCTGCCAGGGCCAAAGAATGGGGTCATTATCACCCTGCTCTCCCTCCTGTTCACCCCAGCCCTGCCTGGATGGGAAGAGCAGGAAATAGGTCTGGTTGGCACATTGGCAATGGGCAGGACTGGCATCTCACATCTCTCCAGACCCAATTCTAGCCTGCCACCACACAGAACTCGAGAAATCTTTCACATGAGCCTTCTCACACATGTGTTCATGCTCCCTTGTACATGTGTTCATGATCGTATATGCTCATGGTCTATGCACACTCAAGCTCTGGCATGTGCTCACACAACCCACTCTCCCTGAGGCAGCCCTGCCTAGGAGTGACAGCCACTGCTGAACTGCACACAGAACACATTAACAGCCCTCCATTTAGAGTCCCCCAAGCCCAAAAAAACAAGGCACAGCAAGTAGCCAGTATGGTACCCCCAGAGCAATGGGCATGGAACAGACTGCCTCTCCCCCCATTGTGAGCTGAGCCAGCCACACCCCCAAGAGATCACACTTTCAACACACCCCAACCCGAAGCTACCAGCTCCCCCAGACACAAATTCAACATTGGTCATGGAAATCTCCCAGATGGAAATCATCATGAAAGACAGGTGAGCTCAACTCTGCCATGAGGCACCAGTAACATTCAAACCTGGAACCAACCCACCCGCAGCACAGGGTTTCTTCCATGCAACCTGGACAAGCAGCAATAGTAGGTTGTTATCTCTTCCAAAGACTGACATCTTAGACCAGGCCAAATCATGATTGCAGGGCTGCCCTGGGCCATAAGGGTGCAGAGGGCACAGGAAGGGGGTTTCTGACGGGCTGGGCAGGGGCTCCCCACAGCTCTTACCGGGTGTCCTCTGGCTCCGACTGCGAGTCCAGGGTGCTGGGCTTCTGTTCCATTCACCGCAATTCCATCCAGGACCAATCAGGAGAGACCGAGGTGGGCTCCGCCCCCAGCTGCTTCGCGCCGCGGTCGCCACGGCAGACGCGGGTCTGGGATTTGGGGGGACGGCGGGATGGGGAGGAGTTACAATGCACTCCCCATGGCGCCCACCTCAGCGCCAGCTGGCACAGAGCATCCCGGGGGGCAGGAGCAGCTGATGGAAAGGGGCACCGATCCCTCTGGGCCCAGCCTGTGCAACAGGCCCTATGGAAACAAACAGAGCAGGCACAGCCTTGAAATGGGGGCTGCAGGGACAGAGGAAGACCCCTCCACCTCAGGAGGGGACCATTTTCCTGCTCAGAAGTGGTGGAAGGCTCCCAGGCACTGAGCTGTGTTGGGGCTCTTGCCTCTCAGGGCTGCCCCCCACTCCCAACCCCTACCAGGGCCCCTGCCCTGCTCTGTGGGGACAGCAGGGCAGGCTCTACGGGCCCTCAGCCCATGTCCTCCTGTGAGCAGAGAGCTGTGGACAACTCCCAGAGAGAGGCATTTGTGCCACATGCAGGCCCACTGACTCCCCTCTGGCCTGCATGAGGCCAAGTCCCTTCATTAAAGAGGTGGGGGGGGAAGTGGGGCTGTGGGTCACCCTTGGGGCAGGAAGCAGCCACAGAGCCACAATGTGAAGGACGGGAGCTCCAACAAGTCCATCCAACCCTCTTCCCCTTGGACTGACACGACCCCATTTAACATATAAATAGGACAGGGCAGAACCAACTGCCCCCCAAACTGCTGCCTCCGCCCTTCACTAGGGCTGGTGGGTCTGAGCCGGGCACCTCTCCTTTCCCTTCTCCTTGGTGTGCTGGAAAGCAACTGAGGTTACCTCGAGGTTAGGAAGCAGCTGGGCTCTCTCCTCATAGCCTGGCGCAGGGCACGGCTCCTCCCCCTTCCCTGTGCACCACCCTCTCCCTCCCTGTCCAGGCCCCCCCTCAAACTTAAGGATTTCTGCAAAAGCCCTGGCACAGGGCCAAGCTAAGCGAGCGCATCAAAGGGTTGTGGTGACGTGGGGTCCCCCAGAGGCAGGAAGTGTAGGGGATGCGGGGGGGGGAGAGAATGGGCTGTGTCCTTGGGTGACCCCTGGCGGGGCTTAGGCATGGCAGGGGTCTCTGCACGGTGCGTGATGGCTCTGCACATACCACACGTGTGGGAACAATCGCGCGCTCCAGGGGTGAGCTGAGGACAAGAGGCTCAGAAGCGTTCCCTGCCTTGCGATGGCACAATGGAGAAGTGGCCGGGACACAAGTCACTCTGCTCTGTGCCTGCCAGCCTGCTGGGACAAAGTGGGATGTCTGGTTGGAGGGGGTTTGAGATGGAGCACCCCAGATTTGTGCCCCCACCCCCAGGGCGATAGGCAGTGGGGCCTGGGTAGAACTACTGGGCAGGGGAGACAGCATGTGATCAGTAGGTTCATCTCTGGCTCAGCTTGTACTGCTGAGTGCAAGACTTGCACAAGCACACGTAGGTACATGGATGAGTGTGAGCAGGCAGAGGCATGTGGGAGTTTGCATGAGGGTGCAAGGAGCTGGTGTAAGACCCAGAGTGGGTTTGTTCGCAAGAAGGAGTGGGGCCATGTGCCAGACTGGGCAGAGATCCCCTGGGAGGTTCTCCCCACACAGCGCAAGGCTCTCTGCAGCAAGGTATAGGGTACCTGGGCACACTTAGGTGAGAGGATGCACACATGTGCATGTTAGCAAGAGTGCGGGTGTGTGCACACATGGGTGGGGGGGTGTTCCATGTGATTGCTGCATGCAATGTGCCTCTGACTGGCCCCCCAATACTAAAATGCAGGAGCATGGCAGGGACACTGGAAACAGCTGGGGTGGGCTTCACCATTCAAATGGGGTAAGGGGCAGCCTTTCCCTTGGAAGGTCGGGGGACAGGAGGTTCTGTGGGTAAGTGGGACAGAGGGGGCGTGTGCAAGGAAGCATGATCTGTGCAGAGCCAGGGGAAACACTGTGCTAATTCCCAGAGTCCTGGTAAATCCCCAGCCCCTGGGCTCCCACATCCAGCAGCACAGCACAACCAGGGGGCTACAGGGGCTGGGGCATGGACACTTTAGGCCTCCAGGTCTGATCAGGCCCTGCCCAGTTCCCTTGCCTGCCTCTCCAGTCCCATGTGCGTGATAAACCTGGCAAGTCTCAGCTCAGTTTGCAGGTGCCTGCACCTCCCACTATGCCCCAGACACCCCCTACCATTGGAAGCCCTGGCAGAGACCCAGAGCAGAACAGGCCATAAAGCTGGTAGCCTGGAGCCCAAAGGAAAAGGAGAGGTGTGTGGGGGAGTCTCTGGGACATACAGGGACCTCGTGTCCAAGTGTCCAGACCTCTCACTCTAACAAAAAGGCAGAAGCAAGAGAGCCAACACTGGGAAAGAGAAGCACCCACCAGGGGGTCACCTGGCTCTGGGCTGAAGGAACAGGAAACCAGGGCAGGCAGGAAGGAAGAGAAAGTAGCACTGCCCCAGGGTCATGGCCAGGGCTTGCCTCCCACGGTGGCCAGATGGGAAAGCAAGGCACAGAGTGGGGAAGGGACTTGCCCATCAAGCCAGGAAGAGAACTCAGAAGTCCTGAATCCCAGGCCCCTGCTGTAGTCACCAGCCCAGGAAATGTCAGCCAGGAGCCCTGAGGGAAAGGGAACATTCTGCTCTTCCTTGCTACATAACAAATCCTCCCTGAGGACTCATCCTTGTTGGTCTGGAGCAGGGGGGCAGCTCTGTCACTGGGCCTACCAGAGGCAGCACAGAACATAGGTGACTCGCAGTGCAGCCTGGAGGACTGACAGGTTGAGGAGAGTTTGGGGCTGGCATGATCCAGGCACCCCAGGGTATACACCTCCTTGGGCAAGCAGATCCCAGCATGTTCTGTCTCTGCTGCTGGACCCCAGTCAATCTGGGCCACCCTTGCTCCCAGGAGCATAGCACAGCTTCCCAGATGAGCACGATCATTCAAAGAGGAATGAAGCAGCCACGGCAGGGGAAGCATCTGCTGTGGCTAGGGCACCCCTTGGCACGGTGCCTCCCTGCAAGGCTGACCTCTCCTGGCCTCTCCTGTGCTGTATGCTCCCCAGGGCCCAGGCAGGATGGGGTGGCCTAAGGACATGGCCTTGCCCAGGGGAATTCCTTGGGAAGCAGCCAGGGCTGGGCGGGTTCTCAGCACCCCCACCCCGCCAGAGGAAGATGACGTATCTCTATAGCCTGAGAGGAAGGGTGCCGATGGATGCCCCACAGTGAATCCTGCCAGGAGGACAGGGGCAGCCCGATAAGCTGGAAATGAGCAAAGAAGATAGGGCATGGCCCACTCAATCCTGAGGCCAATAGCTTCCCAGTTCTCCAACTGTTGGCAGCTGCCCAGGGGCTGTGAGAAAGCCAGGCCTCCTGGGTGCCATCCCCGGCTCTGGGAGTGAAATGAGAACTTGGTTAGGGAAGACATGGCTGGAAGTCAGGACACCTGGGTTCTGTTCCCAGTGTGGCCACTGGCCTGGTGAGTGAATTCAATCAAATCTTTCCCCATGTCTCAGTCTCCCTATCTGGACAACTAAGGCAACAATGCTGACTCCAGGGGTTCTGTGCATGCAAGAGTTAACTAACACCCTCATGTCAAATGCAACCCTGACAACACAAGACATAACACCCTAACCTGTGTAAATCAGGGGAACCACGGCAGCCAGTGCCCATAGATGGACCTGGTACTGCCCATTCAGCCTATGTTTTTAAGCCTTCCTCAGAGCCATTGGGTGTTGGCTGCAGCCAAGCCTGGGGATTTTGAGTGGAGTGTGCTGCTGCTGCTGCTGGGACTTAAAGCCAGAGGTTCCTGGCTAGAGGGTCTTCCCCTTCCACCCCGGGTCACACCAATTGCCATATTTAGGGTCAGGAAGGAATTTTACCCCATGATCAGATGAGTACAGACTGAGGGTTTTTGCCTTCCTCTGTAGCAGTGGGGCATGACCCGCTACCTGGGATCTCTTGAGTGTATATCAATAACCTTAATCATGATTCACTCAGGGACCAGCTCATACACAGTACCTAGCTACTACATAACGAGCATGGATTAACGCCTACAAAACCACAGACTAAGGAAAGGAAAGAATCAATACAGACAATCAACTGTCCCAAGAGACACAGTCAGTTGCACAAGTACCCATGTCACAAGTTTTGTCTGTCAGCAGCTAGGGGTACAGGGCCCCAGAACCCCCCTGCACCAATCTGCTTGATAGCTGGCAGGCTTTGTGGCCTCAGCAGGGGCTAGAAGGCCTGCAGCTTTCACCCCACTGCGCCTTAACACACACACGGTCACCCATGTCACGAGTTTTGCCTGTCAGCAGCCAGAAGTGCAGGGCTCTAGAAGCCAGACTCCCCCTGCACCTATCTCCTTGACAGCTGGCAGGCTTTGTGGCCACAGCAGGGCCCAGCACCCCTGCAGTTTTCAGCCCGCTGCGCCTTAACGCACACAGGGTCATCTCTGTCATGAGTTTTGCCTGTCAGCAGCTTGAGGTGCAGTTCCCCACAAACCTCTGCACCTATCTTCCTGAAACATGGCAGGCTTTGTGGCTTCACCAGGGGCTACCATCCCTGCAGTTTCACCCTCCTGTGATGTAACACATAGACATGACATGAGTTTTGCTTTTAAGAATTTGGGGTGCAGTTCCCCCCAAACCCCTGCACTGATCTTCTTTAAACTGGGCAGGCTTCATGCTCTTAGCAAAGGCTACCACCCCTGCAAGTTTCATCCAAATCAGACAAAAAACAACAAAGTTATAGCTATTTCATTGATTCCCCATTATACCCTATGGCCAGATCTCCAAAGCGGCTTTGAAGCTTTTCCGA